GGCAACTTCGATGAGCAGTGTGACAGTTGATGAGATAAGCCATCAAAAGCCTCTACTGCAGACAAAGGCAAAGAAGAACAACAAAGGAAGAAAGAACAAGATCAGTGACCGGAATGCTGACCCTTTCTCTGACGAGCTCTTGAAAATATTAAAAACAGACATTCTTCAAGCCATAACTCCTGAATTTAAAAGCAGTGTTTTACAAGAGCAAAGCAAACACCCCGAGGAAAAAATGTATGATAGAGTTGCTTCTGAAACAGAGGAGTTCCTGCACCAAGTTGCTGCAGACCTCACCTTTAAAAACACCACTCAAACCTTAACTGAAGAGCAAAAGAAATTGAGTGAAACTGTGGCGCACAATCAGTTTGGAGAGACAAAGATGACAGCTATGGCATATTTAGAGACTTGCACAGAAAGAAATGTTGAAAGTGCATTTATAGAGAATGAGATTAATGGAAGCTTTGTTGAGTCTGATTCAAAAGCACCTGAGGACAGCCTTGCCCTAGAGATTCTTAGAAATGTTTCAACAGACATGAAATGCACCGCTGAGAATTTAAATTCCCTCTCTTGTCTAAATTCCTCCCCTCCCAGTTCTCCCAGCATTAGTTCCGACTTGAGGGCCATACTTGATGATGATACCACATTCTCGCAGTTGTTTCCTCGAGATGAGGAAGCCAAAAGGAAAAAGTGCTCGAGGGTGTATGGCAAGAGAAACAAAAGACAGAAGTTATCAATTCCTTCAGATGTGGCTGCAGATAATCTTCCCCCTGAAACTTTCAAGCAAAATAAAGACCAATTTGTGGAAGGCCAAAGTGGGAAGACCATAAGTGATCCTAAAAGTAATCCCTGTGAATATGAGACCATTTCTATCGACGATGCCATCATGCTAAACATGTGTCACAACAGCACTTTAAAGGCTGATGACAAGCCAGTGTCGGATGTAAAGCAAAACAGTCAGGAGGATAACTGTGAGCTTGGAAGCAATCTGTTGAGTCCTTTTGAAAGTAATGTCACATCTACAGCTAAATGGAGCTCTCCCAGTGGTTTCACTAGCTTTAATTCATGCCCAGTGGTGACATCTGAACCCAGTGATTGCAAACACGAGGACTCTCTGCCAGCCACTTCCTGCACAGTAGAGCCACATGCTGTGCAGGGTCCTCAGTCCTTCCAAACCATCGACATTCAAAATATCAACACAACATTTCAGCTTCCCGAGATGCAGTTCCTTAACTCTGGAATAGACATCCAAGTTTCTCCTCCTCCTGAGGCTGCAGATGAGGAGTGCAAGGAAGATGAGAAATCAAAGAAAGAGACAGAGCGGCGAGGCAGAAAACGACAAGATGGAGGGATGAAAGTAAAAGATAAGCAGTACAAATGCAAAGTATGCTTCACCTGGTTCCTCACCCTTGGAGAGCTGAACTTTCACAAGCTCTCCCACAACCCCTCCCCTCCCCCTACTTGTTACATGTGTGTGCAGCGTAAGTTCAGTTCAAGGGAGCAGCTGAGAGACCACCTGAGGGAAAAGCATGCCAAAAACAAGACAGGAATCTGGACCTGCGGAATGTGCCTGAAGGAGATTTCAGATGTTTGGATGTACAATGAACACTTAAGGGAGCATGCCACTCAGTTTGCCAGGAGAGGTCAGACTCAAGGGTCCATGCTTGGCATTTCAGGTTGCTTGATGCAAGAAACGGCTGTGAAGAACTTTATATCCTCAATCATGCAGCAGCGGCCCAGCAAAGCCAACAGAGAGTCAAGTAAAGCTTCTAAAGAACAGGATAAAGCAGCTACAGGAGAAGGAGCTGAGACTAAAGCAAACAAAACTAAAACAAGCAGTGGAGGAGGTGGAAAACAGACCACCTTAACCCCAGTTGAGGTCCTCCACAAAACAGAAACGCCTAAGAGTGTGGAAATGCATCCCAACTGCAAAGACCCTTCAAGAGACTGTCATCATTGTGGAAAGCAGTTCCCCAAACCCTTCAAACTCCAGAGGCATTTAGTGGTGCACAACCTGGAGAGGATATTTCTGTGCCACAAGTGTCCTGTTTCTTATCAGGAGGCCCAGGAGCTCAAGGAGCATCTGAGGAGTGCTCATGAGGAGATGGACGATCTTGATTCAAAGCACACAACCCTTTACACCTGCGAGCTCTGTGCTGATGTCATGCATGTGATTAAAAAGTCTTTCATCTGCAGCACCTGCAACTACACGTTCTCAAAAAAAGAGCAGTTTGACCGTCACATGGAAAAGCACCTTTCAGGGAGTAATAAAATCTTCAAATTCAGGGGCGTCCTCAGACCTGTCAAAGTATCTGCATCCAAAGAAAGTGAATGTGATTCACCTGCGAGTAAGAAGAAGAGGCTTCTCTCTGACAGCCTGCCAGAGAACAGCTCAGACAGTGGCATTGCAAGTTTGAGCTCAATTCACTTAAATCAGAATGCCGACACACAGTCTGCAAAGCCCTGTGTGCCCACAGCTGATGACGCTACACAAACCATCCCAAATGAATACCAGGACGACTCAAGCAACGCAAATGTGAAAACGGAGGACATTACTGCAGACTGCTCTCAGATGCTTAAAGACTTGGAGAACTGTATTCACCTGAGTTCCTCTGGATCTACAGCAGCCAAGGAAGAGGAACCTAATGTGACTCTGTTACCTAACCTCGATAAAGAGGGCAATGAAAAAACAATAACTGAATCATGTGATGTCAAAGAAGAGAATGAGTTAGTCTGCATAAGAACAGAGGCAAATTCATGTACTGTATATAATGGAAACACAATGGAAGAGGAGGTAGTTAAAGATAAAACAGATTTGCCTCCAGCAGTTTTTGAGAACTCTTTTGTCTGCTCAACAGAAAATCAAAATTTTCTGCAGACACCTGAGTCTGTAGAATTAGCTGTTGATGAGACAACCCAGCAGGGGAATGATGAGCAGAGGGATAGCACATTGTCTTGTAATGACACTAAACAGCAGGCCTTATCTCATGGTGCTGAACAAGAAAGTTGCAGTCAGATTAAAAATAATGCTGCCCCAGCTACACCTCTAGAAAACACTAAAATCAGCACTGGAAGTAGCTGTGCAAAGGCAATGGAAGCAACACCATCTCCTCAGTCGAAGCTTCCTATTCAAGCACTGTCTGCGTCTGATGACAAGGAATTTGTGAAACTACAGAAGAGAAGAAAGGACATGAAATCTGCACACATGCTGCAGAGGGTTTCCTCCCTGGTCACCCAAGAGAACTTCACTGTTGATTCTAAGCCTAAAAAGAAATTTCGTCCGAGCAAATGTGCAAATCCCTCGCTGCAGAGAAGATCGGAGGGAGCAAACGAGTATCCTGTCCTCTCCTCTGTTCGCGATGATGTTGTTGGCAACAAAATTATTTCCAAGTGCAAGAATGTAAACTTGAGCTTACAAGCAAGAAAAGGTTTGCTTGAAAGCTGTGTACCAAAGAAACCTGACATCATTACACCTCAAAATGGGGAGTATAAAGCCAAAAGGGGACCTCTTGGGAGATCTGGGCACTCTCCTGCATCAAAAGTGCCTACAGTACCAATAAACAATTCTTTAAACAAGCTTAGGCCAAAGATGGGTGTAAGAACATTGGAGAGTAACTCCTACCGTACGGCAGAGTCCCAGAACCACATTCTGAGTCAGCTGTTTGGTCAAAAACTTACCAGCTTTAAGATTCCCTTGAGGAAGGACACATCAGAATCTATAAACTGAGGGGTGGGAAGAGTTGTGAATAAGAGTCTGTAAATTTTCACAGTTATACATGTTTAAGACAACTCATTATGGTGAAACAGATTGCACAGCTGTTTTCTGTGAAATGCTATCGATAATTACTTCCATAGTCACTTTATGTCTTCTTATGTGCGTGTTTTTTTAATTACACAAATGTGAGGACTAATGGCAGATATGAACTTAGTCCTTCAGTTGGGGCTTAAACATCACTTAAATAAATGTGTTTTTATATAAAAGTATACTTGAAAAAAAATAAAATTACGTTGTTTTAAGAAAGGATTCTCCATTTTTGCAGGAGTTACATGATTCTTTTAGTCTATTTTGCTAAAGGACCAAATCGTGCAGTACCTTACTTGGACATTTGTGCACCTTGAACACATTCTTCCAACCTATTCTTTTGTATTGTTTTTACACTTTACTGTAATGCGTTGACATTCATTATTATAAGGCTTTGTATAAACAACTTGGTGCTACATGTTGTAATGTGAAAGCTGACATCCTTAGACAGTAGGAGATCTGTAGCAGTCAAAGCATATACATCCAACTGTTTTTTACTTTTTTGAATATACTGTATAAACCAAGTCATTCATATGTAGGCTAATCAATCTCCAAAAAATTACAGTAACTTTTGCTATACACATAAACTCAGGTGCTTACAGGGACATCACAGTCCCAGGACCTGTATTTGGAGTATTTTCCATGCACTGATGATACCACACACAAATGACAAACTCATTTATCTGTGTCTGTAACTCCAAATGTTTAATTATTAATAGTATTTACTAAGACAAAAAAAGGTGCTTTATCTTGTTTATACTGTATGTATCTTCATTGTATAGTATTGTTGGTAGGACATTGTTTGGTGTAATGCTTCAGGACAAAGTTTTATTTTAATAATGTGCAAAATGAATGACGTTGAAAAGAAAGGAAAACTGCCTCTTGCAGGTTGTAAAGTGGTTCACAAAGTGCCGGTTTTACAGTTTGTTATTAAAGATCTGTATTGGTCTCTTATTGCTCTTCTCTTCTTTTGTTCTTGGGGTGTTTTGCAAATGTTTCCTGCTTCCCTGTGGACGGCATCTGTCATCAAATGCATCAAACAGCCCAAGCAGTGGAAGCTGCTTGGGCCTGGAGGCAAAAAACAGGTGCACACACAACAAAGTCTGACTTGATTTATTTTTTTTTCTTTCCCCCTCTCTAAAATGAGAACATCAGAGAGTTTACTCATCATTTGAAAAATGAGCATAAATGTACCTTTTTACTACAGGGAAGCATTTAACAGAAGACAGATACATTTTATATCCATACATATCCAACCGCGCATCTGTCTCTGTGTGTGGCCAGGGGCTCTCCTTGTGTTATGCTGCTCTCTCACCACCTGTAAAATAGCTTCTATTCCTACATGAATATTTTTCATCATCACATAGGAATAAAAAGCCATATTACATCATGGCTTGCATGTAGAACACAGACTGCAAATAACAAGTGCTTTCACATCCTATTCCTCCTGAATCATCATGTGACCTGTGAAAGATGAGAGAAAGAGAAAACAATACAGAAAAATAAGTAATTTTTAAAATAAAGATTTTAAAATATCACTAAACAATGAGTTAGGTTGGGCTTCATTTTTATTATGTTTTTTCTTTAACAAAGATTAGTATATAGTAAATATTTTGTTTTATAAAAAAATAAAAACTTTGATATATATATATAGATATAGATATATATATGGGTTGGTATGTTTAAACAAAGATTCTGTTTTAAAATGAAAGCTTTAGAAGGCAACATATTCATATAAATTCAAATCAAAGATCCCTATTGCATCACACAGCTAGAGTAGAAATCCCCATCAGATTACCCAAAACATATAATTACGGTTAAATAATGAGGTTATGTTTTGCTATTGGTGCTTTAATTTCCATTATTACCACCCGGCTGTTTTCTATAAACATAGCCGACCATCCGAATGTTGATTCCAAGTCAGCATGGTAAAAAAAACTCTGCTGCTGAAATAACTCTTAAGTTAATTTAGTGAGAATTGTGAATTGGCTGCAGCCACAAGCATCATATTTCTGGACTCAGTGACAGCAGAGATAAAACACCCCCAACATTTTTGAATGGGAATTATAAACCCTCGCTCCTGCTTCCTTTTACACACAGTTGTAAATGCTATCAAAGTCTATATAGGACAGACAAAATCTCAAAGTAATGTTGACAGTTGGTTTGAACAGCATGCTAAAGATGTAAATTTGCTCTCATTTCTACAAGAAGCTTTTAGGATAGATTTTTTTCAGATGTAAGGAATTGCGCAGAAATGTTTTTATCAGATTTGAATATTTACATATCCTTTTGTGATCCAAGCCTTCAAACATGAACAAATTCTTTCCACAATTTTTGACCTTCAGGTTTTTGTAAAGCTATGACCTGAGACTGACTTTAGTCGATTTCTGCTAAGAGGTCATGTGTGATGTCACACATGATCTGTAGGAGGGCATTTGCTTCATAACTGAAACTCAGTTATTTAAAAAAGTTAATTATTATAAAGTTTTGAATTTTACATCAGCAACTAATAAGGCTAGCATTACTAAAAACATAGATTCCTGCGTATTCCCTAGAAAATATAGAATATAGACACTTTCTAAAGGGCTCCCACCTTTGTCAGATCCATTATTATTTGTCATAAATTTTGAGAAAAAAAAAGAGCAACTTTGCAATACTGATTTTTAAAAAGCGTTATTCCCTCCCTGCCTGAATAGAATTCAGGCCAGTCTTTATACTAATACACCATCTTTTTCTTTCTAATTGCTTTGCTTGTGTCTCAGCTTTTCTTTATATTTCTGAGCACCACACACTGGAAACATCTAACCTTTAACGTGGTGCTTTCGCTAATCAGAAAAAGGTCTGATTTCTCTTTTCCCAACTATCAAGCAGTCAGAGATGTCACCTACGCATTTCTCGATGTAACTCTTAAGTGCCACTGCTAAAAAACACCAAAAGAGAACATTTTCTTCAGCGAATATGGCCAGCTATGAATTTGGAGGAATTTACTTTTTTAAAACTATCAAATAGCAGTAAACCTAGAAAAATATGTTATTTTTCGCAGAATCTGTATATTTTTTATCTTGTGCAAAAACATAAAATAGGTTATCTATTTTCAAATTTAATGAGGATTTATTTTCTCCTGCATAATGCCTGCTTACATTTTTGCAGCCTATAAATATAATCAGTAATTAATCAGGGTAGCTCTTGGCATCCTTTTCACAAACAAAAACCAACTGCCTGCTGGCATATATTTGGGTGAACAAGCTTTGACTGACACTGTAATAACGGCTAGAAGTTTTTTATGGAGCGTTTCCTGATTACTTTGACAGACCTTAGTGGTTTTCACTTAATATCAGCCGACATGTTGCTATAAATTGTCTGATGTGTTGGAAGACAACTTCGTGTGAAGCATTGTATTTTTATTTTTTTAGTAGTCATTCAATTTCTTCAATAAATTGTTAATGCTGCAGCTGTAAATGGATGCCACCATTTGAATACAGTTTTATACTATAGACTTTTGCTATAATTAGAAAATAAATGAGTCGTTGTGGATTATAATGAGGCTTAGTATAATTAAACAGATGAGGCCTTTAAATAAACACAACAGTAAAAGAAGCCTGATCTCCTTTTGATCATTATAAACACGCAGTGAATAGCTTGATCTCGATATTATGTGCTGTGATTAAGCTGGCCACAAAAAAGAAAAAAGTACACAAGGTTTCTAGAGTTTCCGTGTGAATATTAAATTATGATTAGGTGCTTCTTCAGAGGATGCAATGTTCATTCTTCATGCAAGGTGGGATTAAAATACATCACACCACAGGAATCTTGGCAAGTCAAGGACTCGTATGCAAGCGTAGAGCCCTGAAGGCTCCATGATTGATGACTTCAGTGATGTCAGAGCCATCAGGAAGCGCAAGCAGAAGGTCTGTGATTAACATGCAGTTGTGTGAAACTGAGAAAATGTAAGTTTTATCTTTTTCATCTATCTACCTGTGATCAAACTGTATTAATAATTTAAAAGGTGTGGTGTGTTTTACAGAATCTTGTTGCAGTTGCACCTGTTTTTTTACCTGTTTCTTCTTTCTGCACCGGTGAAAATCCCCCCAGCCCCCTCTGGTCTGGATCTGTGGTTGATTAAAAAATAATTAAAGCAAATACTTCAGTGGGTTTCGTCAAAGTTTAGCTCAGAATGTGTCACAGAGAGTGAGTGGGAGCCCCACACACCCCACTGTCAGGCTTGGTTTTATCATCTGATCTATAAGGGAAATTCTCCAGAGGCAAAGTTATGCAGGAGCATGACAGGAACGCTTTGCACTTTGAAGTAGAGTGACATTATCAGTAAGTATGGTCTTGAAATAGAATCTCATCTCGCTCTCTCTCTCTTCTAACTCTCCCTGTCTCTCTGCTGTTTCTCTCCTGCATCTATTTTTCGTAGTTGCCATCCTCATTTTCCCACTCTTCTCCCTCACTTTTCTTGCCTCCTTTTCATCGAATTCCATTTCTTTACCTCAGCCCCAATTCCTGTTTTTCTTTTGCCTCTCTCCATTGTCACCTGCCCCCCATTTTTCACAGTGAAACTGCCTATTCTCAATGTTTCCCCTCTTTTTCCAGGCATCCACCTATTTCTCTGCTTCTATCTCTATTCCCTCACTTTGTATCATTCTGTCTCGCTCCAAATCATGCTGCTGACTGCCTCTCAGGGAGGTCATGAGATCAGGCAGAGATAGAGATGGGCTGCTGGTCAGCGGTAATGACACGCGGGCTGAGGGGCCACTCGGGTTGCCTCTCTTGGGAATTTTTAGGCTTTACCCGTCTAGGAGAGATAACCACATAGAAAGATAGGAAAGGATTTGTTGCACAAAATAGGAGGGATGAACGAGCATCCAGTTCTCTGCACATATGGGGATGTCCATTATAGATTTGTTATGGGATGATGTCTAGAATGAGAATATTTACAGATAATAGGACGCGTGGGACTGGGAACAATCTTCATGTCTGGGAAGCTTGTAGGTTTTTGAAAATATACTGACATATGCAGCCCAGATAGGTGGTAATTTGTAATTGTAGTTGACAGTTTGGTAAAGATGCAAATAAGTATTTTAGAGGTTTTAGCAAACGGTCTCAAAAACTGACACATGCATGAATGTACAAGAGATATCTACTGTGATGTCTAGACGTTCTGGTAAAATGACCTCTGGACCTATATTTCAAGTCAAATGTGGAGTATATGAACAAAATGAATTGGTAAAAATGAATAGGGGCATTTGTGTTATTCTTGAACAGTTTAATAGATACACACTTTTGAGATGAAAGGATAGGTTTTGAGAAGTTGCAGCATTTATTCCTCTATTATTTATTATTTTTTTGTCCTTTATAGTGTCCCTGGTACTACAGTTAAATATTCAGGTCAGAAATGAGAGGAATTACAGCATTTATAAATCATGGAGGCAAAAAATATAATAGGTCAAAAAAATCCCTTAAAACAACTTTTTTTGTTTTTTTTGGGGGGGGGGGTTGTTTTTCTTTTTTGTTTTGTTCATATATTCACAAAACAGAGATTAAATAAGTGACACTAAGCCTGTTCTGAATTTTCAAATGAAAGGCCTCTCTCCAGGAAGTCATGGTCTCTTCCTGCCAACAAAGCCTTTGCCAACTGGATCATTTGTCATTTCACTCAGCACCAGAGGAGGGAACAGTCTGTACACAATGGCTGAAAGTACCTGTGTCGATGTTCCAGGTTTACAGAAATAAATGGTGTGTCTTTGCAAGGGGCTGTGCAAACAAATGAAAGGCTTTTAGTGTAAGTGCAACCCAGCAAACAGCAGCAGGTGTGTACAGAGCTCCTGGCTCAACTGTGGACATGCTACCGTTTTAAAAGGAAAAGTTTGCATCATGCAAATATCTTTATTTGTCACTGGTTGTTCTCACACTTATTTTGGTCTCTGCATATTCTCACTTGGTAGTATTTTTTTAAGTACAAAATTAGCTCACTTCTGGTTAACTCATACAAATAGACAGAGAAATTTTGTATTTCTTGGTATTTTCAGTTTAAAGATGTATATCTAATAAAGACAATAACCCACCCCTCAACTGTTGCTCATGAAGCTTGAATGCCTTAGGTTTCAGACACATCTCTTATCATTGCAGTATATTAACAATGTATTTAGGGAGAAAAAATATATGTATTCATCAAACATTTTGTTGTTCATTGATAACAATTTTTCAATCTAAGTTATGGGTAGTCCCTAATACCAAAAAATAAACATTTTGACTATATTTTTAGAAAGATATGAGTCACATTTGTTACATTTCTAAGGTTTACCTGATTTCAAATTGTGTTTTTTAGAACCTCTAATTGTTCAACATTAAACTTTATGTCCTTATTAATTTAACTTATTAATATAATTTAACTTAAGATAATTAAAGGCATTTAATATTCCTTTTAAGCTATGAAATACTTCCTTGCTTTGATGCTTGATTCGATTATCTTTGAGTTAGTAACCAACTCAAGTGAGTTGGTCCCAACTTCCAAATGATTGGACTAACAAAATGGCAACAAGAAAAAATTTTGAAGTGGTAGCTGATGTAATGATTTTATCTTGTACCGCCCTTCTGCAGGATGGCACCCAAAACGGAGAGCCATGATGTCACATCAAAAGCGTCAATAGCTTTAAAGACTCTGCATCCCAAAAGAGCCCAGCCTGATTGGTGTCCCAACAAAACCTTCATTCCCTCCTCCAGTGAGACTTGCTCCCTCATCTTCTCTTGCAATATCCTGTATTCATCACAGAGAATCTGAGGTTGCTAACCTGACATTTGATGGGGCACAAAATTGGATTTCCACTGTGATTTTCTCCTCGAGCCTCTTGTGGAGTGTAATCCACACTGTGACTAATTGAGTGACGTGCCAACAGCCCGAGTGAGTAAACAGATTGCTACTCAAATCTGCTTTTTTTATTCTGATGGCTAAAAAAGGCACTGATCAGATGGAGAAATGAATTAAAGTGCTTCTTGTATCAATGCCATCTCTTACTGTTGTTTTGTGCACATAATGTGAGCCTCAACACATTGCTGTTGGGCTGCCCGGTAACATTCATAGCTAATCTCTGAAACAGAAATACATTTTCCTGTTGTAATAAAAACATAGTTTGGACAAACAGTGTTGACTGGACACTTTAACTAACATTATTTATAGCTTTATTTATGTATAATCTATGTATAATTTATTATACTATAAAATCATCCCTTAAACACAGTGGGAAGCAGAGGTGTGAGCGACAGATGTTACAGGATGACTCACCGCAGCTATGTCACCTGTCGGACCGCTGCTATCCCAGAAGACACTGTTTTAACCAAACAAATCCTTAATATAAACAGAAGAAAAGCTCTCTAACAAGCATGCGTTGTACATTTTTTATCTTTATCCTTATAAAAGAAATCATGTTATATTCTGATTTATTGGCACCGTTTTCATCCCTAGAGTTTTTCTTTTAGATAAAACAATGAAACTTTCCACTAATTAGTGCGATTGTTTGACTCTCTCATTCCTAAAGAAACGCGCAAACACACATAAATCTGCACATATCCTTACTGAGATGCAGCAGCCTACACTAAGCGCACCCCCCCCTGTTTGGAGGTTTGCTTTGACACATTGTGAAAACAGTGGTAGCACCCTGAAAAGGTGAGCCACTCGGAGCAGTTAAAAACATAACAGCATAAGACAAGATAACAGTGAAGGAACACACTAACTGACTGGGGATAATATGGCATACGTACCTGAGAGGGGGGGGGTTTAGCTGCTGGGTTCTCCCCTTCGAAGTTTGGCTGTTCTCCCCTTTTTGTGGATCAGGCTGCCGGAGTGTTTTCAGGAGGCAGAGAGAGTCGGGAACTGGGGCTCAGCTGCAGAGACTGACATCATTCCTTTCAGAGAGGAGGTTTTCCCCTCCCGCTATCTGCACCCTCTCTGTGTGTTGGTGTGTGTATGTGTGTGTGTTTCACTCTCCCCATCTCTCCCAGCCTCACACTCCATACAGTAGTATACTCCTCCCATCTCTCCCTCCCTAACTCCTTTATTTTATCTCTTTTTTTATCCCTATTATTACTGCTATTTTTCAAAGTCACCACAGGTGAATGACCCAACACTAAAGTGGTGGCTTTATGCAGAGTAACAAGTGCCGCACAGGGTCTACACTATTAATTTAGCCTGCATGTCTTTTAATTATTTTTTCTACTCCTTATACTAAAGCACCACAGAAGAAACAAACCTGCCAGGAGTTTTACATTAAGCCTTTTCTATCCAGTTTCTCTTTGCAACTCCTATCAGAGCCTAATGGACAGTCCACCTTCACCTATCAAATTCTTTTAGACCAATGGGAATAGAAAAAAAGGAGCCACATTTAAGAGTATTGAGATGGATGCCTGTTGTGGCACCTGCATCTGAGGAGATTGGTGTTGCTGTCCGTGGTGCTGATTAGAGCTGAAGGAGACATCACTAAGGACAGCAGTGACCCTGCAGACCTGGAGAAAATAGCCTTCAGCAGAGTGTATGTGTGTGTGTGGTCAGTGGGGAGTGGGTGGGGGGGTGTGCTTAAAGCACAACCCCACACAGACGTTTTCAAGACAAAAACCACACACACACGTGCATACAGAGCCTAAAATCTACCTCCCAGCCTTCTCCTCTGGCTCCCACGGGCATTTCTCTGCGTCTCAACTCATTTAGGCTTACATTCATCATTGTAAGGTAACTGTGGCAGGTGGGATTAAAATGGATTAGCCCTATTAAAGAAATGTGTGGTGAATATTACACTCAACCCAACCAAAGCCACACGCACACACACACACATAGAGTCCCCCCTTGGAGCCACATGCATTCAGCTGCAGGGGCAATGGATAAAACTCTAATGTAATGCAGGAAAATACACTCAGTCTGGTAAAGGCTAAAACCAGCTGGATTGAAAGTAAAACGGCCAACAAGGCAGCCTGATGATGGTACACCCAGCATCAGAACAGGAGGGAGAAGTATAGTTGCTGTGTGTGTTGCTGCTTTTCTGCCGCTCACACAGTGGACTCCTTTTGTTGTCTTAACTCTCGTCTCAAGAGGTAGCTTTTAGATTCTCGCCTCCTTGTTTCCATAGTGACACTTTTCCTCCTTTGTGCGAGTCTGTGTGTATTTCAGAGACACACAGAAAGGAAAAAAAAGACAGGCGTGGGGAGGAAACGAGGAGGGGTATGACAGCAAGATAACTTGGTTCAGTTACATTTATTCACTAAAAAGGAGAAAAAGGGAAAATAAGTCCACATAAGCCAGTTTTCTACATGGGGGAGAATCTTTACAGTCTCTTTTTTAGTTAAAACCAGAAGGAAGTTGCTTAACTTTGTTGGATGGCTTTGCAACAGCTCTCATTACTAAAAATAGGAACTACTAATTTCTTCTGATATGCATCTTTTAATCATTTACAGATTAAGTTATGTGTCCACTGTGGGGGCGAACAGTTTTCTTTCCTTTTGTTTTTTTATTTTATTCTAATAACAAAGATTCAGGGGAAACTTATTTATGTCTGTTCTCTTCATGACGAGGGACTGCACCTTTTAACGCCTTTCAAATAGATTTTCGCTCCTCTGTGATTTGGATTTTCACCAACCGTGGGAACATACGCCGTCTGAAAACATACGGCAGCCCTCACACATGACATAATTAGACAAAAAACATAGTAAACAAGCATCACAGAGCTTTGCTCAGGAGGCTTTATCTTATTCTTTTGCCCGCCACTGTCATACAATCTAATGAGAGCTTAGTCAGCGAGCAGCTGCATTGAGATTTGATAATGAAAAACATTCGGAATGACCTTGGAGGGTTCAACTATCAACTAGATAAAATACTACCTAATCTGCTGTGCACTGCGTCTAATAAATTATTAATTATGGACATTAAATGGCTGAATTTATCACTTTCAAAACAACCTAGGTGGAGTTGGGAGATTGATGGCATGGAAACAGATGTGTGTATGGTGTGTGCTTCTACACTTTTTTGTTGTGTTATTGGGACCTCTGCTGCTTAACCAACCAACTTTGTGGGGACCAATTGTTCTCAGCAGCACCAAAGCCTAACCTGGTTTGGCACAACTTTAATTCTTTGATCCGTGATAGAGTCCGCAAGGTGTGAATGAATTAGTCTTTGTGCCAAAGTGTGTTTTCTGGTTTGTCACTTCATTAGAGCCTTTGCCACTATACTTATTAGGAGATAATGACATTTTATATAATACTTGTCAAAGTAAAGTGTGTCTTGTGAAAAAACATCCAGCAACTGTCTGCATGTGACTTTGTCTTGTGAAGAAAGTAGAAGCTATTATTATTATTATTATTGCCCCTGGATATAAGTTTTGTACTTCAAGCTTTACAAGCTGTATTTATGTTTGATACTCTTGTTTTGAAAAAGAAAATGGAGGCACTTATTGAGCCGTAAACAGCAAGGAGTTACAAAAGCTTCAAAAGGTTCTACCTCTTAAGTTATTTGCATGGCATCATTTTTGGTACTTGTGAAAAAAAGAAAAGTAACAGGAAATTATTTGTAATCATTATAAAAAGATTACACAACTACTGGCTATCAGCTGAATTCAACACCGTTTGTCACTAACAATGCTAAAGTTGGCATGTGCTTTATTCTTGTGAATAGAGAATACAAGGGCTATAAGCAGAAACCTGGGATGCTTTCACCTCAGAGTTAAGGTGAATCCAACTTCCAGCTGAATCCAGCATCCATACAACTTGTTAAATTTGACTCTGAGGATATTAGAAAGCGTCATGAGCTATGTTATGGTTAGGAATAAAACTACTTTCTTGGCTAAGCCGAGGCACATTGGAGAACACGGAAAAGCAAATTTGTAAAAAAAAAAAAAATAGGTGGCCTGGTCAAATAAAACCAAAGTTAAACTCTTTTCCCAACATGTGAAGAGCTATGAGACAAAAACCAACACTCTACATGTACCTAACCTGAAACATGGTGACAGAAACATCATGGTTTTGAGGTAAATTTCTTAGTCAGAAGCTGGTCAGAATTAAAGACAGTTTAGGTTTCCTGCAGGACTGCGGTGTATGTGCTTTATTACATGTAATAAAGCTACTTAAATCCTGTTAATTATTTCAGATCAAAGTTTGCTTTTTAGTGGGACAATCCCCCCAAAAAACGTCAGCTAGTGCGATAAAAGAATGATTTGGATCAAAACATAGTAATTTTCCAGTCATAGTTCAACGTTAAATCCAACAGAGAATTACCAGAGTGCAAAATGACTGTTCAATAGATGCTCTCCATCCATTCTAATAGAACTTTATCTATTTTATCATGAAGAACTACCAAAATGTCCAGTTTCTACAATGGAAAAGCTGCTTGAGAAAAAAAAATGTTTGGAGTTGTTTTCCAGTGGCTCTTGAATTAGGAGGTTAAATACTAGGAATCCCATTAATTAATCAATTTTATTTGATAAAGTTCCTTTTTGTCACCCAAATATCCTCGGATACAAACTAAGATACAAACAAATGATTTCTTATCGATACAGTCTTAAATCATTTTGAAGTAAATTGGATTTATCATGACACTTTTTTAAAATTGGTAATATATGATGGTGATTGTTGATAAAGTAACATAGAAAGAAACTTTCTTTTGAACATGAATTTCTATGCTAATGCTATGCAGTTCTTTTGAACTACTTTGATGGCAGGTAAGAGAGGAGGACTTGGAGCAGAAGTAGGAATCGTTAAACTGTAAATCTCCCAAATTGAAAAAGAACTGTGTGAGTGTAAGTGCGCACGCCTGCATTTGAAAGTGTATATAAGTTTAAGTCTTCTCTCTCGGCCCAGTAGGAATCTGCACAGAAAGGCGACTAAGCCGAGGAGCAAATCCCTTCTCCCCATGCCCTGCAGCATCTCAGCCAGCTGAGTTCCACATCAGTGAATCTGATTCACGATCGAGGACACTGGAGGCTCTGCTGGGACGCAGGGTTGACTACACATAAGGGGATTGTCTAAACTGAGACGTCTGCCATCTTGAGCTGTCACAATTCTTGCGTATAAACAAAGATATGTCTGACAAACCTTAATTAAATAATGGAAGAGGAGAATCTGTCTTTCAGACTCAGTGATTGTTTCATTTTATGGAAATTTACAAAGCCTTGTAAAACTGCTTTCACCCTTAAACTTATTCACATTTTTGTTACCATTGCAATCTTTGATGGATTTTTGGGGTTTTAAGTAATAGAACAACAGAAAGAAATTAAAAACTATAAAACAGAAGAAGCTGGATGGTTTTCAAATAACTTACATATGCAAATAGAATTTTTTTTTACTAAATGGATTACACTTATGTTATTTGAACTTAGTATGGTTATAGTGTTCGTGTCGGCCTCATAAATCATAGCAACCAAGGAACAGATAAGGGATCAGGGATAAAGTTAAATATTTCAGGGCTTGGTTATGGTTAGTAATGGTTGTAAAATAATATCTCAAATGTTGATGATTTCAAGGAGATCAGTTCCACCAATCATGTAGAAGTGTTATGGTACAGCAGGCCACCCATCAAATCATGGCCATCTGTAAAAAGTGACACATCGAAAAAAGGACAACTTCAATCAGAGAAGCAGTCTAAAGCTTGCTTGGTAACTTTGGAAGTACTGCACACATCCACAGCTCAAGTGGAAAATCTTTTTGCAGGGCAGCCATTTTTTTATCAGCTTACGCTAAATATTTGGACTTTCAGCAAGAGTGGCAAAAAGTAAGCCATAAAAGTCTCATTTGAAAATTACTGCAGGCCAAGGAGGTAAACTTAGCATTTTGAAGGTGGTGGTCTTGTAGCATGACAACTAAATCTTAATTTTTGGGCTTTGAAAACAAAGCATTATAGTGGCATT